TACCTACACTTAATTTTTATTACCAACATAATGAAAATATCTTATTAATATCATAAATGATTAACACAGATGTTTGTAAAGTCTATACTACCAAACATAGAAGTAGGACATAGTCTAGAAGAACAAATAGGCTTACAAACACATACTTTTGTTTTTTTTTTTACTCATTGCGAATGGCATCGTGGGCTTGTAATTTAATAAATAAGAAATACAAGCTAACAGTATTTGAATATATATAATTCAATACTATAAGCAGACAATCTTTGTCATATAAAAGAAGGCGGCAAACTTGTAGCACGCGTCACCGAGGTGACCAACGATGGCAATGGACATCCAATACCAGAGTACCTACCGATGCGTTGCATTTGAAATAATACTCTCGGACCCTAGGTCTTAGCGACAGACCATTCCACAACGCAGCTTAACAAGGCAGAAAGTTTAACGAAACTCTACGCTTGTGGAATGTCAGCCATCAAGATTGTGTGGATCGTGAACTTCGGACAGTTGTGGTGAACACTCACTGGCCACTGCCACTTCAACAAACATCTTTAAAACAGTTGTCACAGACAGTCCATTGTGCAGAGCGTGCATGATGGAAGAAGAAACCGCATTACACGTCATACAACACTGCCCAGCAGTGAGTGAAAACAGGGTTAAGTATCTCGGTTTGAGATCGCTACCAGAAACATAAAAAGTTTGCTGGGGTTCTTCGGAGAGCTAGGTTGGCTGGAGTAATCCATGTCCTGTTCTCACGCAAAATACGCGCCAATCGTGGAGTTGCCGAAACCGTAGCCCCGACTACTACTACAAGATTGTGTTGATACCAAGCCGACCGCTAGCGTATGCTCTATTCACCAGATGACGAAATCCATCAGGAATTCAGGTCAGTTCTTCAGAGATCCCGTGATATATATAATTCATTTCCTTAATAAAAATTAATACGAAACAATATTAGCAACACAATCTTAGATGTTATTAGGAAAGTATATCTAAACATCGACAGTGGACATACACTTTTATCCCGCATCGTAAACACGATCGTTGTGTGGCCATGAAATTCAACTTTAAATAAAGTTTATAAGTAACTTAAATATTATCATTATTTATTACAATAATGATTCGAATATCAATACTTATCATTAACTTGTAAAGTTAATAAATCAAGATTAAATTACATAAATAAGTCCCCGGAGGCTTTTGTGTGGAAATGATAGGAAAGGGGAGTGGATTTGGCGGAGCAGGGGTCGCAGAGAAAGGTGAAATATTATCTTTTTCTGTTTTCCCTTTTCCATCGACTTAGGGCAACGCTGCAATTGCTGTCTATGGGCAGCGGTTGCTTCGCTATTTCGACGTATCCACGTGGCCGTTTGCTTACTACTTATAATATAAAATTAAAAATGTACAAACAAATTAAGATAATGGATTTTCTAATTTTTTTTATAACTTGTGTGTCGTAAATTCATTTCAGGTAATAATAAAAAAGGCCATTCGAAACAATTATTGCTATTCGGAAGATTTTATATTAGGCAATAAATTTTACTAAGTGTCTGAGAAAATCTTGTCTTGGCGAAGGCTCGTATATAAATGAAAATTTAGATCGAAATGTACAGCCGTATTCACTTTTAGTTGTAAAGTGAACTGTATGTTATCATTATACAGTCGAGTTTTGTACGAAAAGGACAGTTTTCATTTTTTATATTTTCCATAATCGTAGATTATTTTGAGGTTATGTTCTTTTTTTTATACATATATTATAATTAAAATAACGTAAACAAAGCTTAGTCTGACATTTGTATTACAGTTTAAGGTTTGTTTAATTCATTTTACAAAGTTCTATTAATTTTTAAAACAACCACAAAGCTATATTCGTGAGGTTTAATGGCAGATACATATGTCCTCATACCAAGAAATTGCTTGATTTAATGAACAGTATTTGCAGTTTACTTTTTATTTTATTTGCATGTTTATTGTTAATTCAATGGTAAATATTTAAAATGTGTTCACTTCTTACGCAGAATTCGTTAGTTTGACCTATAAACGTTTTTGCTAAAGATTTTACGTTTGATAATAATGAAATATATCTAAAATTAATTATGAGCAAAAGAAATATTTATGTAAATTTTTATTCAAGAATAAAAAACGTCAAAAGCATAGAAATTAATTTTATAATTGAACTCATTAATATTCACCGTTTTCTTTCATTTTGCCGACGTCTCTCGATTTAATATCCGTTTTATGAAATTCAATACGATTTATCTTTTACAGCAAATTTCCGGATAAAGCTGGATTTTTTAATTTGTAATGATGAAAATAATGTAACAAACAGAACTTCAGCCATCTATATTTTCACATAAATTGTATTTTTCTAAAGATTGCAGAAAAATTGTTTATTTATTAATTACTAACCATTTGGTTACGGTAAATAGTCATACTATTATAAATGTGAAAGTTTAGATGGATGGATGTTTGTAGCCTAAACGGCTGAATGTGTGAAGGTATAAATGTAGAGGATAGTCTGGAAAAACACATAGGCTACTGACTTTTTTTTTAATACAACGCAGACGGAGTCCCGGGCGAAAGCTAGTAATTAATATTTTAACAATTGTTTTGTACATTCTTTCTATATATTTTGCTTATGTCGTTTCCCGCCATTTTTATTTTAGTATAAAGAAAAATACTCGATTAGAATATTGCTTGTTATCTGATCTTCGTATAACTTCAACGAACCGAAGCAAGGAAGAGTTCGCATTCGTGCCTGGAATATTAAAGAGCGGTCGGTTAATATGAGAGTTTTCAAGACATTTTCATGTAAACCCGAGTTTACAAGTAATGAGGCATCTGTAAGTGATTTATCATGAATTTAATAATTATCCCTCATTCGTGTAGTTGATTTTTTTATTTGTTAATGAAGGCTGCCAAAATATAGTTTATCTAATTCTGGCATCATCAAATATTCGGTATGACATGTGATTTTCTTTTTATTTTAAAAAAATACTTCACAAGTTAAGAATAACGCCATCTAGCGAATGATGAAGGCAACGTGGTAAATTTATTACAGAACCATCCCCATTTAGATTCAAATTTATTAATCTATAAATTTCTTTTATTTTTCAATGAAATGTGTTGTAAAATTGTAACCCTCATATAGTTCGACATTTACCGAAACGCGGGAAAGTTGCAAATTCAATTTGCAACCAGTCATGTGCAGGCGAATTTGAAACAAAGTTTACAATTACTTGTTACAAAAACTTTATACAACGGTGCATGTTCGTAAACGATACTTCAATACGTATATGGGCTTTGTGATCAGTTTGAATAAATGTAAGGACTATTCAACTGTTGTTACTATGTAAAGCACATATGATTATTTCAAAGAATTTTCTCTAAAATAATAATTAACCAATAAGTAACATTTTACATTAGTTTGTGATATTATCACTTTTGAAATGAAAATTATACATTATCTTCAACTGTCCACATACTACACTTATCTATACTATTATAAAAATGAGATTTGTAAGTTTGTATGTCTTGAAATAACTCAAAAACTACTGTGCCAATTTTAAAAAAATCTGTCACCGTTAGAAAGGAAATTTATCTGTGAGTATAGGCATTAGCATTGATGGACAGATGGGACTTGGTTATGCTGGCTCGTTGGATACTTACATGTAGGCAAGTGTAATCCATTTGAATTTGTTGGAATTTATATTGTGTTAATTTTCTACTAACACTAGTTTGTAAGTCCACTAACACTTTATGGATCTTTGATATCTGAATTAATGATTATAATAAATGATTATTATTATTTTTAATATCTATACTATTATAATAAAGTGTAAACACACACTTTGTTGCCTAAGAAGTCAGAACTTACAGCATATTTATGAATAATTCTTTCTATAATAAAAATCCCTACATTTATGTCATGCTTTAGGCTAGTAGGCTATATTTTTGTTAAATAAAATGATGTAATTCAGAAGCTAAATATTTAATAACTATAACAATTTTAATATAAACATTCTATTTTTTATTTAACAATGCTTTTCCTTTTGGCTTTAATCTGTTACTTAAGATTGCTTTTCTTTCTTCTTCTTTGGCTTCAAGCATTTTCTGTTGTCTTGTCTTTGCAAAGTCTAGTTCCGAGCTCAACTCTACAATCCGAGATGCAAAGTCCCTTTGTTTGAGCATTCTTAACTTTTGTTTATGCTGGAAACAATGTAAAGGTATTTAACACATTTTATGCTATATATACAGTTCAACTTAAACTTGCTGTAACTTAGCATTATTTCAATTTAACTTATATATTATTACTAGAGACACTATTACCAGTAAAGGTGTGGGTATTCCATCCAAGAAGGTATAATCAGGACCATCAGTTAAAATACCTTCAGCATTTTTATTGACTGGCAGTCCACGTGAAACTCGCCATTCCTTTATATTTGATATCTGTGTACAGCTAATTGTTCTGGAGGACTCTGTAAAGTTCACAATAATGTTACTTAACAGGAATCAATTATTATAGTATAAGATTGTAATAAGTGTAACTTACGTTTGCAAACACTCAATAAGTTTTTCGTAATTAAGTTTGTTAGATGCATGTTTAATAAACTAATAATGGTACATTTATATAAGAAATAACTTGATTTGGAAGTAAATATCCAAATATCTAAAAAAAGAGGTTACGTTTTTATTATTTTTCAACCAATCCCAAAGAGCAAACATAGAACAGAGGTGATTGTGATAGTCAATTAAAATTGTCTATGATTGCTTTCCAATTTCTGTTCATATGATGCAAGGTAGAAAATAAAAAGAAATCCCCTATATACAACAAAAATTTACTTATTCTTGGATGATATAAAAAGCACATTCTTCAAAGTAAAAGCAAAACACAAACACTTTGTTAACAACTTTTAACAGGTGCTGATTACAGATTTATCTCAAAATCATTTACACGTACTATAAGTCGCAACGTATATGATTTAAATATGGTTGTTACTAATTTCTAATAGTAAAAAGGGCTTACTTAATTGTGAAACAATTTTGATAGTGTGGATAATTTTTAAAAAATACCGAGTTGCATACTCTATAGTCTAGTTTTGTGTCTATGGTCTACTGAAAATTTGTCATCAAGCAAGTTGTCAGAAAAAATTATTTGTGATTTGTGAATTTGTGGAAAGTGCGTCTTGAAAGTCGAATTAAACCGTGTTTTGTGATTTCTGTGCAAATTGAGGCCACGCCTTAAATTTAATTGTTTATACAAAACAATATACCCTTACTCTGTGCACAGAAAAGGTAAGCTACTTATTTAAATTATCATAATGTAACATGAAAACGGATCGATCATATGTTGCGCCATACCTTTTTCCGTCTAGTACATTCTAGACCCTGACTTTAACTTCGATTAATTCTAGATGAAATCAAGTTAAAAAAGATTTTCCCAGTCTAAAAATAGTTTTCGTAAAAAAATACTTTCAGGATATAAATAGAATTTACTTATTCTTTGTTTAGCAAACAATAAAAATTGCATCACTCAAATCGCTCTCGATCATTTGCAAAGCAAAAGCAATATTGGGTATTCCCCTTTAACAGTGTTAAATTGACTCGTAAGTATAGGCATATAATCCTCTGCCTATTTTTCTCTAAAATAAGGAATTTTCGAGAATTAAATGATTTTATTAACTATTAAAATAAACTATGATATTTTAAAAGGTATTTAACCATACATTTGTTTTTTTACAGATCTGTTCAGTGTCCGTAAGTGCAGTCAGATTTATTCAAAACGGCTTCCAAAAAGTTAAATAACAGTGATCAAGCAAACTACAACACAATGTGTATGTATACTTTTTAATAATTTTTAAGCATAAATTTTTTCTTCTTCAGCACTTGGTGACAATGTGGCAGAACCCAGGAGTGTACCCCGGAGGTTTTTAAATTGATATTAATTGCTGTTATTGTGCCACATACCCCTTAATTTACTGCACCAACATTTGTATTATGTATCAACCACTATGTAAATATGTTTTTTAATTACCAGCAAAACATGTAGCATTAGTTTTCAACTGTGATTCTGTCTGCATGGAATTTTGAAATTCAAGACAAAGTACCCTATAAGTTCTTCAAGACTGATCTATATCTGAGCTAAATTTCAGCAAGTTCTGTTCGTTAGTTTAGGATATAAACTCAAATAAACATCCATCCAAAATTTCGCATTTATGATATTAGTATGATTACCTGTGGCTGATACTGGTCATATTTAAAAACAAATGAATAAAGAAAACATGTTAAAAAAGTAATTCTTAGATTTCAATAAATATATCAGTGTGCATGTTTCCGTATAGTCATATATTTTTATCATTATCTTTTGTAAACATTTGCATGTCAACATTATGGTAGATTATGATTGATTACTTTTATCATAACAACTTACACCAGTATATTCTAGAAAGATATTAAAAATTGAACAAACTGGACTATGTATAATACCATATTTATACAGCTTATTAATATATGTATATTTGATATATTTCTGGACAATATATACAGTGAATTTTCCACTAAAATCTTACTTTAAGTAACATTTGTTATGCTGTGTTTGTAATTGAAATTTAACAATGCTAATGTCAAGTGAGTACGCCCACATAATCCTTATTACAGCTAATCCTATTAGTTTAACGCAGACAGTGGTAGAGCCCGCTTTATAATCTTCGCACGAATAGCCTTGCCCGGTGAAATACCACAACCACACTGGAGACAGGCGTGAACTATGAGTAATTCCGCGTATAGTCTGATGAGTGTGGTGCCGGAGGCCAGACTTTACTGTGTTTTCATTACCGTATTTATCTTATGAGAAAAAGATAGGAAGGGAACAAGGACTTGACTCTGGATGAGACGCATAGGAAGAGGAAATATCCGCCATGGATTAAAGATAGACAAAGCATCCACTATTGTGCATGTCTGTGGGCAGCGCAGGTGGCAGCTTGCTCGTTTGCCATCTTACGATATAAGTAAAAAAAAACCATTACCTTAAATACATTGTATCCTGTGTATGTATACAAATGTATGTGTGTTAATGTAATAATTATGTATGTTGTAAATATATGCTATAATGTTGCTTAATCATACTAATATTATAAATGCGAAAGTATGGATGGATGGATCAATGTTTCTTAGTTTGTAGCCTAAACTGCCGAACGGATTTCAATTAAATTTGGCATAGATATAGAGGATAGTCTGGAAGAACGCATAGGCTACTCACTTTTGTTTTTTTAACTCCACGCGGATAGAGTCGCTGGCGAAAGCTTGTCTCACATAAACCATTCACCTAAATACACTGCTAATATTAATTATTCACGTTTTTAATTCATTTTATCAAGCTAGAGTGTTTTTATACTTTCATTTTGTGTTACATAATGTTGAATGTTCTTTTTTAATGAGTTTCTCAACAGAGTAAATAAAAGTAAAATGTTTTTTAAGTATTTTAATGCAGTTTATGATACAGATATTTCAAATTATGTACTATTTTTTTCATTTTCAGTTTCTATTAATTAAATATAGTCAACATTAAAATACATAAGTATGAGGGCCTTTATATATTTAGAATCACGTCTTTATTTCGTCAAATCTGATCGAACGATAATAAAAATTCAAATATGTAAATTTAATTCTACATAAATATCTTACAAGTTTTATGAATTAATATAAATAGGAATTACATCATATAATGAATTCGTTCCCTAAATTTCTTTTCCTGATATTTGTCATATTATTTCTTAGAAGCCTATTTTACTCAGAGATTATGTTGCATACTTAATGGAAGATTTGATGAAATCAGTAGTTTTTGAGTTTATGTGCAAGCATAATAACATATTTCTCTGTAAGTTTGAACAATGTACGTCATTACGCCCAAGTTACAACTCTCTCTGTCACACATGAGTCATGAAACGATCGTATAAGTTGCGTAATGTATTACTTTACTGCAATATGAGTCAAAACATTGACTCCTCTCTCGATGTCTTATCTTATCTATCGAATTTTAAAACTATTTTTAAATATATTACATCGTCTTTAATTATAAAACCACGTTGAACTCCAAATACGAATTAAATTGTGACGTCACATTGTAAGCGCCACTTACGAAGCGTTTAATATGTGTTTCAATATTCAGGCGTTTAAGATGCGTTTCAATATTCAGCCGTTTAAGACGTGTTTCAATATTCAGCCGTTTTAGATGTGTTTCAATATTCAGCCGTTTAAGACGTGTTTCAATATTCAGCCGTTTAAGATGCGTTTCAATATTTAGCCGTTTAAGACGCGTTTCAATATTCAGCCGTTTAAGATGTGTTTCAATATTCAGCAGTTTAAGATGCGTTTCAATATTCAGCCGTTTAAGACGCGTTTTCATATTCAGCCGTTTAAGATGTGTTTCAATATTCAGCCGTTTAAGATGCGTTTCAATATTCAGCCGTTTAAGACGCGTTTCAATATTCAGCCGTTTAAGACGTGTTTTAATATTCAGTCGTTTAAGATGCATGAATTGTGTAATTTATTTATTTGACAACCTATTTTAAAACCAACGGTAACATTCACTATGTTTTTAAGTTACAAATTAATGTTCTTATTTAATAAGATCCTCGTACGATAAAAACTTGATCCATTTGAAGAATTCATTATAATTAATTATCTAGTGATTTAATGAGTAATCAACCTCGTTTTTATAGCGTTTGATAACATTTTTGTGGGCTCCTAAGCGGATTTGAACAGGAAACCTCAGAAGGATAGATTAGTGTTTGTTTCCAACCGTAATTCCACTTGTGAAATATTTGTATTAAATGTATCTTTTTTTTTACCCGACTGACAAAGAGGACAATGTTTTGCATGCGTATGGTAGTTTGAGAGTAGTCCCAGTGGTAGAGAAGGTAAAGCGTAAAAGGTTGGCATGGTAGGAGGGATGAATCACATATAACAAGGAGAACGTTAGTTATGAGTGTGGTACACCGGTAGAGGTAGATGTAAAAAGAGATGGATGGATTGCGTGAAAGGTAAAAGGGATGATCAAGAAGAGAGTGATGACTGAGATGACTGATAGAGTTATGTGGAGTAGAATAACTAGAAGACGATGAATGTAAGTTTGTTTTTTGTGTATGTAAATTCTATTGTAACCATCTAGAGCCTAAACGACTGCACCAATTTTGATGAATGTGGTGTCATTTGATTTGTCTTCTTCCCTGGTGTGTCATAAGGTATGTTATATCGACAAAAAAAATCTACAGTGGACGTGAGAATCGAAATTCTAAAAAATATAGTAAATAAACCGAGTTCGAATCCTCTATTGTATAACTGTTAAAGCTCTAAAAGTAGAGAATAGTTTAAAGATAAAGAGTATACAAAGACTCACGTACTATTAAGGTTTTACGAATATTCATTCCGAGTAAATAACGCTGTTGAAAAACAAGTCATTTGTACTTGAAGTATTAACGATCGATGGTGACCCTGGCTTCCGAATCCGTACTTAATGACCTGTCCACATAACTAGCTAGGGTTGCCACTTTAAGTTTTTAATAATCACATAGACGTTTGACCAAGATCTCGCGCTAGGTATGTAGTCAGGTCTTTATTTTATCCTTGATGGTGTTATCCTCTAAGTTTAGCTTTAACATTATGTCTTAGGGTCGAGGAGGTAACATGTTCCTATATGCTTTTTTAATGGGAAATAATAACTGGAAGTTATTTTTATCGGGTAGTATACGATGTTTTGTAAAATTTGGCAGCCCTAAATAAGGGTGTGGCGTCACAATTTATCGATTTTGTAGCTATTATTGGATTTGGTTGCAAGTATAAGGCAGTATTAAAACTTATTTTTAAAATTTGAAATATCTTATTTATATTAATGAAACAGGAAATTTATTTCTAAGGCCTACCTTAATCTTAAATACTTCAAACTACAAATCTAAAGATACTTAATATGTGTGCGTTTAGTTTTCTTACTAATGCTATAAATGCAAGAGTTTAGATGGATGGATGAATTGTAGTTTGTAGCTAAAACTGCTAGAGGGATCTCGAGGAAATTTGGTATATATGTAGAGCAAAGCATGGAAGAATACATAGGCTTCTTACTTTTGTAGTTTTTTTAATTCCACGTGGACGGAGTCGTCGTCGTCGAAAGCTAGTTAATCGTATAAGAAATATAGAGGTATTACTCAATATAAAATTACATCCAAACAAGATTTTTCACACGCTTAGAACCTTGAATAACATAATTATCACGTCTGCTGTCATATTACTTGCGTCCTTACTGCAATAGGATTAAAGCTTAATTTTCTTTGTTATTTTTAACCGTGCCAATGTGTACTAATGTTTTGAAAACTGCGCATGTGTGAATCTGTGACTCAGTGCGTAGGCTAATATCGACTTTATTGTCCTTGTGGAAAGGACTGGAATGCTATGCGCAGTCACGTTTTGTTTGCATCTCCACAGTGAAAGACGCGTCATACTCATTTCATTGTAATTCAGTCTTACGATCTTAGAGGACTCCCCCGTGTGTTAACTTTTTCTGTATATTTACGCAATTTATTACTGGCCAGTTTACTAGTGTTTGGATTGAATAGTTTTTTTTTTATTACATCTAAGAATTATTTGATGAAGTGAATAAAACCAGTGTTTTATATTTGTAACGATAAAATAATGAGAAAGACGTAGTGACCAAGGATGGCTGAAACTAAAGGTTTTTTTTTAGTTTTTTAAATTATTCCTATCATTTAAATAAACCATATTGAATGCTATATTTGCATGATACCACTCATTGCAAATACCATTTGTACTGAAGTGTATATAGACATTTTGAGTTACTTTTATATCTCACTTTACGCACATTTTATACTGTAAAAGCCCATATACATGATACAAGTTACTCGTATATAAGTGATTTGTATCTAAAAGTTGTTTTAAGAGACAATATTGCTTCAATTGTATGAAACAGGCAAGGAACTGGCATCGTTTAAATGGACATGAACTCGATGTTGCTTTTATCTTGTGACTTAATGGCCTTTTAAAAGAAAACACTTATTACATATCTTTAGTAAGACTCACTGGAAAGTCTAAAAATAGAGGTAACTATATGAATTACAACTCGGAGTCATATTTAAGTTCCTAAGTGTAGATTTACTACAAAGAAATAATAAAGTATGGTGAAATAATCATTAAAATGTCTGTGTTAGTTTTTATATCGTGACTGAGCACCGAATATTTAGTATCATTACGTAAATTTGTGTAATTCAAAACTTATATCAATAACACGTAATACACAGCTATTTTTAACACTTTTTTTACTACTCCTCACCTAAGCTTATGTGTCTTGACTATTTGTATAAGGAGTCTTAAAATGCTGCTAAAAATATCTGATATAAATAAACTGAAAGATGAAATTTAAATGAAATGAAACACTTTAGCGACATTTTACAACTCCTTAACAATGCATGTTTCTAGTTGGGTATTTAATTCTTTTTACACAAAACTAATTACAGATCAAGGGGCGCAAGGAGGGTATCCCCAGGGAGGATACCCGCAAGGTGGATACCCGCAAGGTGGCTACCCGCAAGGTGGCTACCCGCAAGGAGGTTACCCCCCGCAAGGAGGTTACCCCCCGCAAGGTGGATACCCACCGGGCGGCTACCCACCTCAACCCGGCTACCCTGCGCAGCCTGGTTTCCAACCCGGATATGGAGGTGCTGGATTTGGCGAGGTTAGTATATCTTAAACTCCTAGGTCTAAATATCGTTCTATCTGAATACATGTAACTCTTTCAGATCCAAAAACTTGAATTTATAATGACGAAATGGCCTAGATGTATTTGTAATAATATATCGTTCCTTGACAATATTGAGTTTAAAATCTATAAAGCCTTGATTTATATTTTTTCTATAATGCCAAAGGCATTTAAATTGTATTTTTTTAAAGAAATTAGAAGTGGTGAAAATTTAGACGCCCAGTGAAATAGCATGTTTGAAAGGTTCTTTGTGGTATTTAAGCTATGTGTTTAGTAAAGTCTTGCTTCTTAACGATAAAAAGTGTTGAAATATAACAAAATTTCCATTTATCTCTTCAGACGGCGTTAATGTGATGATTTTATCGCGAGAATGTGAAAAAGATACGGAATGTTAGAGTATAACTATGCATAAGGGAGTGTTTTCATGTTAGATATAATGGCTTATAGAGAAGTAAACAAAAAGTGTATTGGTCCTAGTAAGGAGGTTGATGACCATGGTAAATAACCGGTTTGTTTCCAGCCGGCCGGATATCCGGGACCGGGGCAGGGAAGCCTGGGTGAAGATGGTGATGTCAAAGGCTTCGATTTCAATGAGCAGAGTATACGCAAGGCTTTTATACGGAAGGTAAGCTATCTTATTATTGTAGAGGTAAGGTTGAAATTTCATCTTGTAGCAACCTTTTAAATTCTGATTTTTTTATTCAAAAAGTATTGTTTTTTTTATTTATTTTCTTTTGCGCTCACTATTCCAGCATTACATTTATTCTTGTCTAAGTATTCTCGATTTACACTAGGTTTTTAATGTTATTTAAGTTTATCTGTGAATTGGATTAGAATCTCTATATTTCAATATTATAACGAGTTTTCGCGTTTATACAAAATGAATAAATAATTTTTTTAGCTATACTAATAATATTAAGAGGAAAGATTTCTTTTATGTATTGAAATAAATCGGAAAATACTACGCCGATTTTAAAATTTCTTTCACTATTAAAAAGCTACGTAAACCATAGGTAACATAGGTTGTATTTTTTTATTTTATTTTTCAATTTCACTGGGGCGAATTCCACAACAGGTTTCTCATAAATGTTGTCAGTGTATTTTCAAAGATGTGTTTCTCGGTGGAAACTGAGGGTAATAGAAAATTCTGTTGATTCCAGGTATACTCCATCCTGATGTGCCAGCTGCTGGTGACGCTGGGCTTCATCACGCTGTTCGTGTACCACAAGCCAACGCAGATGTGGGTGCAGAAGAACACCTTCTTGTTGTAAGTAAACTTCTGACAGGAGGGTCATCATCATCCTATTTATCCTACTCCCGTAGGCTACAACAGGTTTTTGTCCTCCACATAACTTTATTATCCGTCATCTCAATCACCACTCCTTGATGATGTCACCTTTCACCAATCCATCACTTTCTAGGTCTATCTCTACCGGTGTACCTCCACACTCATAATTGACAGAGGATATTTTTCTTATATGTCCCATACCCTTCCTTTTTGTCTTTCATCGTGGTATTCCTTTTGAACAGGTCTTTAGGAGCAGTATGTTATTTTCACTACTATTATTAACTTTTACACAATCTTGATAAGTATGTTAAAGTAAATGTAAAAAAAAAATAACTTATCGCCGACTTAACGAGAATTTTAAGATATGTATGATAGAGAGTGAATTCAGATATTCCACTAATACATGTATGGAAGAGATACAAGGACTTTATGATATTTTTTTAAATAATATAAGGTGGCAAACAAGCAAGATGTCACCCTAATCCGCCGAATTGGCGAAACGACTGATACCTTGCCTACCCTTAATCGACGGAGTAGACGCACATAAAGAGGATGTTTCCCTTTTCTATGCATCTCCACCATTAGATCCACATTACCTTCCCATCCTTCCCTCTTAAGGAAAGGGACTAGAATTAGGCCTAATTAATTTAATTCTTAAATGCATGATATTGCTGGTGATCAGTTTTTTCTTCCTTACACAATAGAATATTTTGAAGATTGAATGTGGATGGCTACAAAGGAAGAAGAAGACCGAAGAAAATATGGATGGATTGTGTGAAAGATATGCTTAAGAAAGGAGTGGATTCAGATATGACGGCTGATAGAGATGTACATACTGTGCCAACTCCATAAGGGATAAGGGCAAGTTGATGATGATGATGGTATTTAAAAAAAAATGCATGTAAGTGTTGTAATATTTCAGTTGGATAGCATTCGCGGTGGTGTTTATCTGCCTGATAGTGATGTCGTGCTGCGGCAACGTGCGGCGCCAGGCGCCCATGAACTTCATCTTCCTCGGCATCTTCACCGTCGCCGAGAGCTTCCTGCTCGGCGTCACCAGCAGCATGTACGACGGCACTGCGGTAATTTTATACTTATTACTATAAGGATTAGGCTTTTTTTTATTTGTGAAATTTGTAAAAAAAATTTTGATTTTTTTGTACGTTTTTTTTTTTCATTTTTTTTAATAATTTAAATAGGAGGTTCTCAATTCGATTGTTTTTATAGATACATTGTACACTTTATGATTTGATTTACGGGATTTTTTTTAGGTGGAATAGTTATTTCAATATTATTTGGTCTGCTTAAAAATATTAAATTTTTTTTTTAAAAACTAACCGGTAGATTTTTTAGAGTTTTTAAAAAGCGTACCAAACCGAGATTTTTATATTGAAAAACACATACAATAGACGTTAGAAACTGTTTGCATTTTTTTTTTAAATTTTAGTTTTAACGATAAGTATCTTGTTGATTGTAGTTACCCTTAATAGCCTGATTTTAAAATAAAATCAAAAAATTTATAAGTGTACTATTCACTGTGTTTTTTACTAAAGGGGGAAAGTAGTAAAAAAAAAAATTTTTTTTTATATTTTCGTGATATCCTCCTTTTTGTTTTCTAACATATTAAAAAAAAATCAATTGTAGCCCAATGCGATTTACCCCGGTATCAAATTTGAAACTTCAGATATTTGTCTGAAGGTTTATGGATGTTATTTAGGTGATGATTATATTGTTACTCAGGTGATGATGGCAGTCGGCATCACAGCTGCGATCTGTTTAACGTTGACGCTATTCGCAATGCAGACGAAGTACGACTTCACCGCTATGGGGGGGATACTGCTTTGTGCTACTGTCGTTTTACTCCTCTTCGGTAAGTTAACTTTAAGCACAAGTCTAAGTTAACTTTTAAATATAGTGTCCAGTTTGACGAAAAACTAATTTTTTTAGCATTTTTTTGTTTCATATCCAAAAATTTTTTTACTAAAAAAAAAAATTTTGCTCCAAAAATCTTTGTTGAATTAGAGATTAAGGGGTTTTCCGTTGTTGAGGGTTCGAATCCCGCCATTCGACTCGTAAACCATTCCTAGAGCTTAGTTTAGTTGGTAAAATAAATATTATAGAAATAATATATTTATAAAAAATGGTCCTCGTACTTTTTTTTTTCAGAGAAAGTTCCAGTTAAAAATATTTTTTTCTCTGTCTAATCTATATTATTTAAATGTCTTTTTTTATTTAGTACCAATATAACATGATTGACTATGATCTAGTCTAAACTAAAGGTAGACTTAAACCTGAGATGTCTTACATTTATGTTAAAAGTAAAATATAAAAAATTAGCTTTCACCCGCGACTCCGTCCTCTTTGAATTTAAAAAAAACTAAAGTGATTAGTCTATGTGTTCTTCCAGACTATACATTTATACCAAATTTCATTGAAATCCGTTAAGCAGTTATACACAAACTCTAACAAACATCCATCTAAACTTTCGCGTTTATAATATTAGTATGATGTACAATTTGAATCCGTTTAATTTCAGGTCTGATAGCAATGTTTTTGCCCGGGAATCGTATAGTGACGCTAGTTTACGCGTCTCTCGGTGCGTTGCTGTTCTCC